TATGCAAAAGACAAAGAAAAACAAAAATTAAATCAAACCAAAATCGAAAATTATAGAAATTAAATTGCTAGAAAAACTGAATAACAAAAAGAAAGAAAATAAAACTAAATAAAAATGGTTGATCAGCTCTAGTGACGGCAGTTGTAGGTTGGACGAACTGCTTGTAGGAACCCCTCCTGACAAGAACTGAGCGTCCTCCTTCCTATAACCCTTGAACCCCTCAAGAAGCCTTGGCCTTGTGAACTGGGCTAACCAACCCCTTCTCCAGGGCCCTTGGGGTCCTTTTTATAGAGAAGGGTAGACAAAACTGGGATTAGAGAGAAAGAGAGGGGCGGATAGCGGGTTTATGTAGAAAATGGGCACCCCTAGGGTTTAGGAATGAAGGGTTATGATTAAATTAGAGGGATCCTACGGCTAGTGTGAAAAGGAGAGGATGCTTATAAATATGGAGGATTGGGATTTAAGCTCCTAGGATTGAATGGTGGAGATTAGGGGTTAGGTGGCGCCTTAGGGTTAGAATGCTAAAGAGATGGCGCTCTAGAATGGAGGGTGGAGATTGCAAGGTGAAGATCTAAGGGTATGAGAGGTTGCTAAGGCTTAGATGGTTGAGATTAGATGTTAGGAAGGAGTGGAAGGTAAAGATTTAGCAGTTAGGGGCGACTAAGGTTTGTTAGACGTGAAAAGAATGAGTGGGGAGGCGCCCTAGGGTTGCTAGGGAAAGGGGAGTATGCTAATATAGTAGGAAGGGTGTCTTTTTGGGTTTAGTAGATAGGAGGTGCCCTCCTGTGCTCAGTTTTTTACAGAAACACCCCTCTTCCAATTGAAAATCTCACCAGCTTCCCAAAATCTGCAGAAAACTTTGTAAATTTCCTAGTTTTTACCCAGAATTTGCACAAGGACCCTCAAAGGTCACAACAATGAATTTAACCAAAAAAATGGTACAGATTAGTCAATCTAAGGTCTAAAATACCCCTAAAATGATGCCCTTAAGGCATCAAAATACAGAGTTATCACCTTCCAGCTACAACCACTAGATTTCATTCTCCTTTCTCTTGCATTTTCTCTCTCCACAAATAGAGTTCAATTGTGGAGGAAGAGAGTTCAATCGTTCACTTGTTGGAGCTCCTAATATTTATGATCTTGATTTCTTTAAAAAAAATCAGAGTAATCGACTATGAAATTCCTTACCTTCTAGGAAATTAATGTAGAAGCCACCGGTGTAGCAAGAAGTCATCGGTGTCTTAAATCATTGGTTGGATTTGTGGGTTCAGAGGTCTTCGATGGAAAATAATTGAAACCAGATTTTACCATTGTAGTTGCTTTTCCTGTAGAGTTCTTCGAGGTGGTCTTCAAAGTATACGAACGACATAGCTTGTTTACATCGATAAGAAAGAGTGTAAAAGTTTACTTCAATAAAATCGAAGCAAGCTTTTATGCTTATATCAACGGAAATTCTGACATATCCACAAATTTACATTGATTTTGGCAACATATTTACACCATAAACAACCAGAGTAAATATTTACATCAAACCGGCATTTACATCGTAAACAAACACAGCCTAAATAGAACATGCATAAGTTGCAGCCGTAATTGCCCATTTTCCGTACAATTAACCACTTAATTCATCTCTATATAGATGTGTTTATAGACAAAATACCCCGTAGTCCAATTGGTCACTTAGCATCCCAGATACAAACTTCTGGAAGGACAGACTCTCATGATCATGCCAGCCGGCCCACATATGTATTATCACCACTAATCCGCTAATTGGGCCTAGAATGCAACACCCGGCCCAAAATCAACATCATATGTAATTATGTACGGTATCTATTTTTGCCCAGATTTTTTTTTCTGAAAAATTCTAGATCGTGGCAATGTTGCCCCGGATGTATAAGGTGTGGTTCATCAACTATGCTGTTGAATATAGGTCTCCCGTCCCTTTCCGTTGTTATGCTTTTCCATTTCTAGCAAAGGCATGTGGGTGAATTTGTCCTCACAGAATGGTCCATACATCGTGTTCATAACTTTTTGGGAAAAGTGCACCGCAGTCCAGTCCAATGCAGAATTCTGAATTACAGTTCTTTATAATCTATTAGTAATTCTCCCTATAAACTGCATCTTGTCCATAGATTTAGTATCAATTCTTAATTTTTTTTGAGTTGTGGGAATATCTTTGTATTTGTATGTTTTTATTTCGGAATGACAATAAGGCGGGGATCATATTCTTCATCCCTACCCTCGATTCTAAAATTAACCACCATGCCAATTCCTGATTCCTGTCAGGGACAAAATTTATTCCTGATCCCTACCCTCAATAGGGATAACAGTATTTTTTTGAAAAATAAATTTAAATATAATAAATAATGTTTTAAATATGTTTTGTATATATATATATAAATGGGATCGGGGCGGGGACCTCAATCCCCATCCCCGACGCTAACCTCAATTGGGGATTCCTATTAATCCCCATCCCTGTCCCCACCCCACCTAAACAATTCCTATCCCCAACCCCATCGAGTTGAGGAAATTGGATCCCTATCGGGAATGGGGAAAATTGCCATCCCTATTTTTATTAATGGAGAGATTTTTCCAATGCACAGCTATAAATGACTAATAACACCGTTATGTGAGGACTGAACCTGAATTTAGAATAGTTACATATAAATATCTTCGTTGATTTTTATTTCTTTGTTTTCTTTTGCATTTTCTCATCGGGTGCGATGGATTTCCCAAAAACTAATGAATTTAGATTAGCTGAACACATCGGCTGTGCAGAGACTGTGCAGTCAATAATCATGCCCCACAACCCACTGCACATTCATAGCGTTCATCTGACCCAATCTACACTCAAGACAAAGACAAATAATTTTAGAAGGATATGGACCCTCTCTTTGATGTCTATAGCAGACGCTTTCATCCAGCAACCTCTTCATTTTTATATAAAAACCATAAAGTCGAAACCGTAAACCCTAAATAGTAAGCGTTTTTTTTGCATATTAAATGATAAAGTTTTGTTTATTGACAAATTCATTTACGTTTCGAAGCTAATTGCAAAAACAATGAGCGGGAAAATTTCTTCTTAAAAGGAAAACATCCACAACATGATGCAAAACAAAGAATGGTAAAAGTGTGGAGGAAAAAAAAAAAAACGAAGACACACCCGGCAGTTGGTTGATATTAGGAAGATGAATAAAAAGAAAAACAAGAAAAAAGGGGGGAGCGTTGGTTGATTGAACTTTCTTCAAAACAGAGTAGTTGCACAGAAAGTTGAAATCTTAAACATCTTTTTATCTTAATTAGATTCAGAAAAGAATTTATCAAAAGATATTTTCTTTTGAGCCTTTTTCTAATTTCTTTGTTCTTCAAAACATATGTATACACTTTTTTCCTTGTAACAGGCTTTATTGGATTCTTTTTTCTATGTATCTCCATTTCTTTGTTTTCCCGGTGTTTGTTTCTTTTCATATTTCTCCATATGATGAAATCGTGGATAAGCATCCATAGTAGAAAAAAAGAAAAGGGTTCCCATAATGAATCAAGGACATTACAAATCTTGCTCGTGGCTGAGAGAGCTCAGACAAGTCATGGATTTCACAGTAACCACTGGAATTCGAGTTCCAGACAACTATAAAAAGAGATCAGACTCTCGGTTTTTATTCTGGAGTTTGATTTGCCTTATCCAGCAACATAAATTGTGTATTAATAGTATTTAGAGCTGCCACATTTTGGTTAAGAGGAAAAGTCACATAAATGCCCAATACGATTTTTATTTTTAATAAGACAGATTCGTTTTGAAAATTTGAAGAATTAGCGGTGGCAAAAAAGACTTGTGATTTTTGAACACTTCAGTTGAATAGTCTTTTACCCTTCTTTTTATCGGGAGAAATAGGGATACGTCAATGTATTTTTAGTCAGGGTGTTATGGGCCCGAAAATAGGATCTCATCACGGGTCGGTCCATGGGAAAAACATCTTGGCGCCCTAATGATGATTTGTCCAAGAGATCATCTAACTCTCCTTACTCTCTTTCTTGACTGAAATTTTCGATATGTTTATTGAATAATATCAGCTCCTTAAATAAGAGATTACAAGAGGTAGAATCCTACTTTTAGGAAGACTCCTTGCTAATCTACTATTCTATCCTATTAAATTGATAAGATAAGACTGAACTGATAAGATAAGATAAGACTTCCTTAATCTAACCTACTGAACTGATAGGATAAGATAAGACTTCCTTAATCTATCCTACTGAACTGATAAGATAAGATAAGAACTATAATTAAATAAGATAAGAACTGTAATTAGATAAGATAAAACTCCCTTAATCTATCCTACTGAACTGATAAGATAAGATAACTAAATAGATAAGACTCCTACTAATCCCTACTACTGAAAGCAAATAAGGTAAGAATACTGAATAGATAAGATAGGATGAAAACACTAAATTGTTACTGCTGAGAACACTAAATTACTGCTGCTGCTGCCGGCACCCACATCACAGGGCTATAAATATTCAAAATGTTAAAAACCCCCACTTTATACACCAATGCCCCCTGTAAATTGGCATCAATTCACCCACCTCCTAGCCTAAAAATTCTGGAGTTCACATTTCCGCCCCACAAAGAGTCACCCCACAGTGCATTCCCACCGTGTATTGTAAACATCTCTCGATGATAGTACAAGTCATCATCGGAATTCCTAATATACGGCGAGAATGTACTGTGAGGCGTTGTGGGGCGGAGATGTTATCTCAAACTGGGCTGAACCATCAGTCTCCCCCTTTTTATTTTAAATGCTGATGTAATTTGGCTGCATGTTACTATTTTACCAACCAAATGACGACAAGGTCCGACTACAGCAATACATAGAAGATTAGTGAGGACTACAGCACCACATGAATATGTTTTAGGTGAGTCGGTGTGGACACGCTTGTTGGTCTGAGGTAGATCTTTCCTTTTATATATATTTAAGAATTGAGACCCCGAGACATATAGAGAGAGGATTATTAGAAGATGGAAAACTCGAACTCGAGTTTACTATTGTTGTTTTGTTTCATTTGCACCTTCATTTATTTCCTCGCTTCTGGTAGAAGGGGAAGTAGGTCTGGCTCACCCAAACTCCCACCAGGCCCCATCCCTCTTCCCCTTGTCGGCAACCTCTTSAAACTCGGTAACAAACCCCATGAAGCACTCACAGAGCTAGCCAAGGCTTATGGTCCAGTTATGACTCTGAAGCTCGGCTGCCTGACGACGGTCATCATTTCTTCGTCTAGCATGGCCAAAGAGGTCTTGCGAAAGAACGATCAGGCCTTGTCAGCTCGAATTATTCCAGATTCGGTCCGGGCATGTAATCACCATCAAGTATCAATGGTATGGTCACCACCTTCCCCTCAATGGCGAAACATGCGGAAGATCTGCAATACTGAAATATTTTCCAGTAAGAAACTTGACTCTATGCAAGGTCTCCGATGCCAAAAGGTTGAGAAGCTTGTTGCTTATGTTCGCGACAATAGCCGGGCTGGTCGTGCAGTCAATATTGGCCAAGCAGCATTTGTCACCTCTCTTAATTTGTTATCAAACACCTTCTTCTCTGTGGACTTGGTCCATCTCGGCTCTGATTCTGCCCAAGATTTCAAGACACTAATCTGGGCAGTGATGGAAGAAGTAGGAAGACCGAACTTGGCAGACTATTTCCCAATTCTCAGATGGATAGACCCACAAGGTGTAAGGCGTCGCTTGTCTAGCCATTTTCAGAGGTTACTCGAAATTTTTGATGAAATGATCGACCAAAGGTTACAGTTGAGAGCTTTGCTTGCTTCTCCCACGCACAATGACAACAGTGATGTATTGGATGTTCTCCTCAACCACACCAAAGATAATGCCTCCCAGTTCGGGCGGAATGAACTCAGGCATTTTATTTTGGTAGGTAACTAACTTTCTTTTATTTATTCCTTGTCTTCATGTAAAGAGGATGTCTTACAGTATTAGAGCCATTGTGTAATAATAGATAGTTGTGCTTTTAAAGAAATAATAATAATAATAATAGATAGTATGTGATGGTGAGATTAAACATTTTTTCTCGTTATGTGATAATCCAATACATACTCCAGTGCGATAAGAATTCTTCTTCTTCTCTTTTTTCTTGTATTGACTTGGGATTTTGCTGCTTAATATGCATATTTAATATTTTACTGATGCTGACAGACATTTTTGGGCAACCCTTTTACAGTATTCCAATTTAATTTCTTCATGTTTGTTTTGTGGTCGCCATTTAGTTATGTGCACAATCCTTGTGACAATTCACTGACCTTCAGAGAATATAAAGTTTTCTCCTCTCTAAACATTAATTATGTAGTTTGAAATAAAATAAGATAGAAACAGAAAATCGGGAGATAGTTAAAACTTACACAAATTTTGTTAAGAATATTCCCTCAAGCATTCTGTTCCTCTCTTATCAGATACATGAATAACATATTTAAAAAAAAAAATCAGAATACTGCACTCGTACTTAGTACATGGGGTCATTCTCTACTTATCTACCAAACCAAATATAGCTTGCTGGAATGGAGAAAATCACGTTCCACTCTGTTTTGTTGGGAAGAAAACAAATTTCAGAAATTGGTTGTAGTGGTGTAAAAATTCCATGTAAATAGAATTCCACTGATAAATCTATTTCCCAACTTGCTTAGTTTTCTTCGAAAATGACTTTCCTTTTAACCCTTGAAGAGAAAATTTTCACCTTTGGTTTGGGCTCAGCGCACACTACTCGATCCCTTTGACCATTACAACCCGAAGAAAAATAAGACATATTGACAGGGCAGTTGGAGTTCTTTTTGTTGTTGATAACTTGAAAGCAACCATGTGGGAAATGGATTGCAACAAATATTCGACTGTGACGTATTAGAAACAAGAGCAACTTAGAACAAATAATGTTGAATATTAATAGGGGAAATGTTAAAGGAAACGCGAATCCTTCATTTGTGATCTAATGCAGACAATTCAATTCTGTATCAGGATCTATTTGTTGCAGGAACAGACACAACATCAAGCACATTGGAATGGGCWATGGCTGAGTTACTTCGAAAGCCTGAAGCAATGGTAAAGGCTCGAATGGAGCTGGAAGAAACAAAACAGAATGGTAAATCGATTGAAGAATCGGATATTGTTCGACTACCCTACTTACAAGCGGTGGTGAAGGAAACATTTAGGTTGCATCCGCCGGCTCCACTCTTACTCCCTCATAGAGCAGAAATTGATGTAGAGATATGCGGCTTCACCTTGCCCAAGGATGCCCAAGTTCTGGTGAATGTGTGGGCCATAGGCAGAGACCCAACCAAGTGGGAGAACCCTCACTGTTTTAGTCCTGAYAGGTTTCTCAACTCAGCCATTGATTTCAAAGGTCGGGACTTTGATTTGATTCCGTTTGGCGCCGGGAGACGGATCTGTCCTGGGTTGCCACTAGCTTTTCGGATGGTTCACTCGATGTTGGCTTCTCTTCTTCATTCGTTTGATTGGAAGCTTGAAGATGGGACGACAACAGAGCAAATGGACATGGATGATTGTTTTGGACTCACTTTACAAAAGGCTGAGCCTCTTRTGGCTGTCCCTGTTCATGTTTAGCACTTTTCATCAATAACTAATTCAAGAAGAAACACAAACACCATTGTTTGTACTGAAATCCTGTTGGTGAGAAATTAGAAATGTGTATTTTTTAAGGAAACTTGCATTATTAATTCAACGAACAAGATGTTTTCCTTTGTGAGCCTATCTTAGGTGTGGATTTCTGAGAAACACATTGTTGTACTTGTCATCCATCAGCACCTATACTATTACAATGAGATTGTCCGAACTAATTGTCACGAGGGGAGACCCTTATTGACAACCAGAAACGAAAACCAAATTTTTTTTCCTAGAGCTAACGTTTGAGTTGGTGGTTTAGGCATCTTTTTCAAGCCCATTGTGGACCTTGTGTTAGAGCTGGTACCGTGGTAGTACTGTAGTAAGATGATGCATGTGAGACCCACTAGTTTAATGCAAAGAAACAGCCCTTGCGAGTAATGCCAAGAAACCAACTCAACTATTTGGACATTGCCTATAATGAACTACTATCTTGTTTGCATGTTTGGCTATATAACCTATAGGAGGAATTTGTAATTTTAATGTTGGGATCGATGATATTATTTCTTTTACTCTATACCACCTCTATGTCTTACCATTGAGAGAGAGATGAAGGGATGAGAGATTCATCATATGGGTGGCTGAACCCTACAGGAAAGTTGGGTGAAATTTCAAAAATTTTTCTCTCCCATGTGGGAATCACATTCCCTATTTTAGAAAACTGCATTTTCAATGATCAATCTTGAACCCAAACCAAACCAGATCTGAAACCAAAAGGGAGTGGAAGGTTATACCTGATATGAAGTAGTAATAACCTCCAATGGAGGTGTTCACACCCAAGGAAAGATCCAAAGACTGCTTCCACCGAAGATGACACGGTGCAGGATGAAGCAGAATCAAAAGGATGGTTTTTCAGCAAGAACCGAATTCTTCAGCAAGAATTTGATGGAGGGCTAGTGAGCATGACTTCATATTACCTTTTCTGCCAAAAGGTAATATCAAGAACTCACTCCCACAGGTGGAGATCGAATCCAAGATGCAAGAACAATTCGGCCAAGATTATTCTATAAATCGAAAACCCTAATCAAGAATCCCAAGAATAATTCACAATCAATCGGATCTGCTTAAAATTAATTACAAATTAGAATTAAAATTCATCATGGTTCACATAAAAGAAAGAAAGAAGAAAGATTTAATAAAGAAACATCAAGAAACCCTAATCGAATCTAGGTTACCAAATTGCAGAATCAAAGAAGAAGATGACCTAACAATTCTACATCAGTCTTCAATCTTCTCTTCAGTTTGCATTCAGCAGCCTTCTTCCTCTCTAGCAGTTCTCCTTCTTCTTCTATTTTGTCTTCAAGGGTCCGAACCCTAATTCTCTCATTTTCTTTTCTTTTTATACTTTTCCTCTTCAGCCTCTTTTCACTACGCCCTAGTTAATTTAGGTCAAACCAGAGTGGATCCCATTGACTTTCATAAAGTCAGATTTATGGTGGCCCAAATCAGCTAGGGTTTCCGCACGCGTCCCTTTTCAAGGTTGTGGGGCTCACCATGACAGGAAGGGGTCATCCAATGACCGTAAGGGACACCATGGCAATGATGTGCGTTCAGCCATGGTGTGCACAAGAGCCAGTAACGAATCATCATGGGCCAAGTGCTTATGGCCCACGAACGCAACACATCAAACATCCACACATCACATGAAATGGAAGAATTGATCCAATCAATTAGCTACTGTAAAGCCCATTAATCAGCCTGTTTAAAGTCCATAACATTAACCATTAATATTATCTAGGTATATGGGTTGAATCGCAGTTAGCAGTTCGGCCCATATAGCTTTTATGTAAAACTAGGCTTTTGCAATTTTAACCCCTTAAAACTGGGCTTTACAGGTTGGGCCGAATTGGTTCTTCCAATTAAAAATTGATTTCATTCGTAAAAGTGGGAAATAACAGGACTGAATACAGCCCCTTTCAAACCCTAGATTCGGTCTAAACAACTTTGGCCCAATCTAGTCCAAAATGGTCCAAAACCATTCTTCAATTCAAGAAACAATTCAATGAAAGATCTGAAATTAAAAAACTAAATTTTGACAAAAACAAAACAGATCTGGAATGTTCGTACAACCTGCAAAACAGAGGTTAGAAATCATGGTTGCAGTTTCCCAAACTACAAAATGCAGATAGCAAACTCTTCATCTACGAATCTCCAGCGCCGCCGCCTTCTCCAATCTAGAAAATAAAAACAAAAATCCAATTTCTATTAAATAATTACATTCTTGATTGAATCCTATACATTCAGTCTAGAAAAATAAAAATAAAATTATTTTATAGACCGAATAGAATAGAAACTGCAAATAAAGATTGCGCAGACAATCTGCGCCAATTCTGCACTTCGATCTCCAGGTACGAACAGTCCATTAAATCAAGAAATAAATTAAGAACAGTTCTAAATTAATTTTGGATTTAACAAAATTAATTTCAGATCAATCGCCCAAAACAAGAAACAATTTCTTGAAGCAAAACTACAATTTGCGCAATATCCGGATAGAACAGCTTCTACCGAATTGCGCAGGTTCAGATCTGATCTTTTGGTTCAAGATTCGAACCTGTGGCTCTGAAACCACTGAAAGGAATGGTAGGATCCATCATATGGACACCAAAACTGTTGTGGAATGGGTGGGCGAATTTCAAAAATTTCCTACCTTTTTTCCAACTGGGAATCACATTTCCTGATTTTAGAATCAAAATTCAAGGATCCTTCTTGAACCAAACCAAACCAGATTTAAACCAAAAGAGAAGGGAGGGATTATACCTGATCTAGAGAAGTAGTATCTCCCAACGTTGGTGTTCATGAAAGAATGGTAGGATCCATCTAATGGACGCCATAAAGGTTGCGGAATGGGTGGGCGAATTTCAAAAATTTTCCTACCTTCTYYCAACTRGGAATYRYATTCYCTWAATTTAGAATACAATATTCAAGGATCCTACTTGAACCCTAATCAAACCAGATCTGTACCAAAAGACAAATGGGAGGAATATACCTGATCCGGAGAAGCAC